ATATAGAATGACTGTGACATTGTTCCGACCTGATTAAGTTTTGAAATTGAAATTCGGGAAAATAAGGGATTTCAAGAGGCCAAATCTGAAAACAGACTTTTCCCTGTTACTTTTTTATTTCTTACCCAAATTTTAAACCGTTTTCGGTTTTGAGTTTAGTATTAAGGGTACCATGTAAAACGTATGGTCCGTGGGGTCACTTTTTGACTCCTTATAGGAGTTTAAGTGGATTGAAGTACAGTACTTTTTGTTATTTTTTAAAATAGCCATGACAGAGTTATGTCTCTTTGAATAGCCCTTGATGGACATTTATACTTGTTATGTTTCCAGTTCAGTAGGGATCTCAAAGTACCTTTTGGTTTATGAACCCTATACATTTTTTATAATGGAAAATTGATTTCTCTTAAAGCTCCCAAATTTTTTAGGGGTTGAAAAGCCCTCCGTTTTTGTTGAACGACAAAAAAGGTCTAGTTTAAGATTATAATTCTATCAGATGTTCGTAGACAAAAAATCAGCATGCATTACCAAGGGTTTTGAAAAGATATCAACTGATGAAAATTCTTGAATGATTCAAAGAAAAATATATTAAAATTACTAAATACATATTCTAGATTTTTTTAAATCCAAGCTTGATTTCGAAGAAGTGTACAACACCATATATAGACATAAAAATATAGCACACAGTTCCTTCAAGTATTGGAACTCTTCAACTCCGTGGAAAAAGGCAGTAAAGTTCAAACTACGTTGCGTATGTCCTTAATATATGGGTACTTTTCACGGAGCCAGTTTAACTCTAAATATTACCTTACATAAAGCAAAATAATTTAAATCCTTAATTTGTACTAAACCTTGTGTTTATCGCTATTCACGAAAGAGTAAGAGGCAAAAGATCATCCGATATAATGGATTATAATCTAACTGGTCAATAAGGGTGAAGTGGATTACCATCCAACTGGTCAATAAGGGTGAAGACGGATCTGCCAGTATACAGGATTATACAAAACAACACCCTCCTTAACTTGACCACAGTTTAATTGGATATATAAATATAATTATCATGTTATTTATTGTTCCTGTCTTAACTTGTTATTCTGGTATTGTTGTGACAAAATCATTCCTACACTAAAAGATCTGCATAAAAGATAAATGGATGCATGTAAAAAATATGCAAATCTACAATTTTTTGAAAGTATACTTAAATGTTTCCAATATGTAATAGAAATTCTGCTATAAACGTATAAGATATGTCCTTCGCTTTCATGGTAATCAATTGTCTTATAATGTCAGAGATACAATCTTAATATTTTCATAATGTTTTCCCGTATTCTGACTTTCACTTCCCTAAATTTTATTTACAAAAGCGATGTTAAATGAACGGATGGCGTTTATCTAAAAACACCGATTTATTGAAAATGGTGAAAATGAAAGAAAAGTTCTGAATTTGATGGGCTGACAATCCGGCCAATCAATGAGGAAAAAGAAAGATTTATCTTTCACTGGTCCCAAATAAATCTGAATAATTGACTAAAGACAAATGAACTTTTATCTAGACTTGGACATTTGACAAAACGTCTCGTAACGTATCACTTACATACTGGAAACACCAACATAATTTCATAATAAGGGGAAATTCTAATTTCTAATAATAATTTGCCTGAATCATTTCATAATTCACAATACATATATCACTTGTGTTCCAAGCAGCACCTGGTCCAGTAGATGTATACATGTTGCAGACTGTTCTTGAAGAACTGCTTAAATATGCAGTGCGGTGTATTTTAGAAAGTCGGCCATCGTTATATGTCTCAAAAAGCTTCAAGATGAAAATTATTTACTGTTACTTTTTTAAAAGGGAATCCCAATTACATTTTAGGTATAAATGAATGAAAAAAGAAAAATACTTGAAAAGCGGTTCAGGACTTGGTTCGAACATAGCATCAAGTTATGTTACGGCGAAACCCTTTCTCTATTCTCACGAACATCAAAACATTTCAATATATGGTACATGGACGTACATCAGTTTGACCAAGTGTAGCTCTGCTCTTGTAAAAAAAGAACTTTAAATGATTTTCTTTAAATCCCTATGTAAAGTTTGAAACCTTATTTAGAGTCCGCATTGGACCCAGCTTGAAGGGAAAAGACAGACGGCAAAACGGAAATAAATTTTGATCAGAAAATCTCACTTGAGACTTCCACTACTTCCAATTCCATCATTTTTTCACATTGTGTACTTGATATTTTGAATTCTGAAAGCAGCAAGATTTTAATCAAATAACACTATATTCAGTTACAGTCACCCCCCCAAAAAAAATCATCCTCTCTTTCTCTCTCTCTCTCTCTCTCTCTCTCTCTCTCTCTCTCTCTCTCTCTCTCTCTCTCTCTTCAGGACAGATGATACAAATCTTTATAAAAAAAAATCATGAACCTAACAACTAAAGTCATGTTTCTAGAAGTAAAACGAAAAGTTTAACTGCAGAGATTTTAGTTTTTCATTCAAAGTTTCACAATAATGTGATATAAAGTAGCAAAAAGTATCATAGATTAATAATGATGGTTCTATAGAGGTAGAATATTGAACTTCATAGCAAGTTTACAATAACTTAATATTTTATAAATTTAATATTCACATCATTTACAACCAAAATACCTCTAAAAAATATACTCCAATCCAGGCATTCATTTGTTATTTAGTCATATGTCCTTAAAAAGAGAGAAATTCCAAGAATTTGTGACGTCAAAGTGATGAAAAATACAATTTTTCCAAATTTATATATATACATACGTCAAGCCTCAGTGACAACAGAGACGATGCATTAATGATTGCTTATTGAAAGAGAACGATAACCCAGGAAAGAGGTTAGTGCATCTGAGTATCGTGTTTAACGTTTAATACCTTCTATGAATAAATAAAACATACATGTCAATATTTTATTTTCAATATTTTATTTTGGCAAATGTCTTTCAAGAGAGAAAAACGAGGAGCAATCTTTCACGAAATATTTATTGAGTATCTTAAGAAATAGATGAATTTAATTATTTTTATTGACTTTCAAAAAATTGCACACTTCATTTTGTAAAAGTATACTAAATCATCTTATCACATAGAATTTATATTCAATCTTTAGTTTCTCAAAAATATATAAACCTATGCAAACCTTTACAATCCCCCCCCCCCCCCCCGCAAATTCCTGAGATGGGAAATACAAATTTGTAAAATAGTTTCTGAACAGCTTGTGAAATATTTTGGATTCAATGGAATTAGCAATTTATTCCGAAAAAAACACCCCTTGGCCATTTATAAAGATATATAGAGGATGTTATTAATTATTCATTAAACAATTGAACTAGTTTTCGAAATGTTTGAAGCCTAGCTCGAAGACAACAATTTTTAAAAATAAAACAAAATTTCTATCATCTGTACGTATTTGAACATTACACCAACTTGCAACTTTTTAAACATGTTTTTGAAATAAAAGTCAAGATACTCAAAATATTTCAATATTTTCTCACTTTACCGTCTTCGGAACAGCTTTTTTTTTTAAAGAAACTGTTAAATAATTGTGTTCTTAGAGACTGTTATGGAAAACATTAATACTTACTGTGGCTTCATTCCAGCCCTGAAATCATACCTTCAAAAATATTAAACTTCGCTGTATTTATTTACTTTCTTTGTGCTTTGGAAAAAAGCAAATTTGTAGCTTTCTTATATCTTTATGCAAAATTATTGCCACATTGTCCATCGAGTATTTTTCTTTTAATTTGCTTCGCAAAAAGTAAACTCCAGTTTAAAACTATGGATGATTGATAGATAGATTGATTGATTGATTGTGTGTTGTTTTACGTCCCGTTAGAGAATTTTTCATTCATATAGAGACGTCATCATATATCGGTGAAAGGCTTAAAATTTAGACCTTTACTCGGCACTCAGCGCCATTGAGCAGTGAGGGTTCTTTATCGAGCCAACGCCTACCATGACACGGGGTCTCAGTTTTTAAGGTCTCATCCGAAAGATCCGCAACTTTCACTTCAAAGTGCCGAGCGCTGGGCGAAGGAACAGTTGCTACCTATTTTTTTATCGACTCAGTCGCGACCGTGATTCGAACAAACAACCTTCCGTTCACGGAGCGAGCGCTCTACAGACTGACCACAGACTACAGACCGTGACGGTTAAAACTATGAATGATCAAAAGCATTCTAAAATGATAACCTGTTTGTCTTTTCAAAACCTTATGCGGAAAGAATTACAATGTGATTTTTTTTTTCTAGGAAAGATTTAGTCAAGATCGATTAAGACGTTTTTATGTCAAAATATGAACCAGTACTGAAAAAAGTACTTACACTTTCAATAGAATCCAAAAGAAATACATTTAGCATTCAGCTTTCTACTTACCAACTAAATTATAAAATTCAAGTTTTGCCTTGTTCATTTTTCAACATTCCCCTTACAAATATTGTATATCAGAAGCATAAGATAAAAACTGAAAGAATTTACCTCGGAGAAAATTTAAATGGCAGGAGATTCTCTATCATGAAGTCAATAATTGTTAATGAAGGTACTGGATAATTGAAATATAATTCAAGTGAAATAAATAAAATTATATCCAACTTGCTAGATGCTGAAAGTTTAAACACTGTATTGCTCTCCAAAGGTTAGTCTGTCCTCTGACAATACTAATATACTTCTGTATTATTTTTTATTCATTCAGAATAATTTGTCATTAAAATAAAGGGCTTTGAACTGACCCGATCAGTTCTTCGTTCATTAGAACTTCATCAAGTTTTGTTGAGAGAGCGATCCATATATAGAACAAAGTCTTGTGTGACACAAAAGGACTCTTTTTTAAAATAAAAGTCTTTGAAAATACATACTTTACATTATTACATTCATATTTTCACAATGAGTTCTCTTGATGGATATACTTTTCTCGAAAAAGGTTCAACTATATGTACTTAAAAATCTGATCAAGTCAAAGTACTTTTTAAATTTTAACTTATGTTCATCAACACACAATGATGGTTAGGTTTATTCGGCTGTTTTGGTAATGAGAAACGGATGTGGACGGAATCTCTCACAATCCGGGCATTCCCAGCGAATTCCAACACGACACACTCCATAACCCCGTCGGTCACTTCCTCTGATCACGTTGTTGAAGGCCAAATAAAATGTGTTCGCTAAATCGTCGGGGTCCTGTCCATTGAGAGCAAAGAGGCATTTGTGACATGTCGTCATATCAAATCCTTGGTTGTTCTTGATCCTGACGTAATTGTTGGCGACAAAAATGGTGACTTTTGTAACACCTGGTGCCAACAGAATGTCTTTCCATGCTTTTTTCTCATTTTTACAATAATCTGATTTTATTTCCCAGGTGTTGGGATATAGTCCCATGAGCTCTGCATCGTGTTTAGTGTCACTCGCATCACCACCTATTTTGAGATAAATTCAACCATTAAAACATGACTTATAAATTTGTATATTCCAGAGTAAAAAAAGAAAAGAGAAAAAGGTACTGAAAATCCTAATATTTGTACACTAACTTACCCCATCCGTCATTGCTTGGACTGTCTCCAAAGTTGAACATAAAACCCCCGCGCTCTTTCCCCAGATACATATCTATTCTAAGCATGCGTCGTCCACACAACGGGAATTTGAAACAACCATCTTCTTGCCAATCCTGAACGCAGTTTGTCAGATTCTGGAAGTTAGCTCTGAGGTCAGCCATAACTCCACATTCCTCGATGTTTGACTGAGGTGTGAATACTGGCTGAGACACGCCCTCTGCTCCATCCCAGACTTTACCATTAGTTAGATCAAGGTACATACCATTACGACGTGGACAACATTGTTTACTAAATACACTTATCTGAGGGTCTGAAAGAAATCAGTTCTTTTAAGCTACGTTTTGTAAAAGCAGAGTGAGATAAGTTGAAGAGGAATTTTAACTTCGAAATGTACATTTGAGGTCAAATAAAGAATTCATTAAATAATGATTAAGAAATATTTGTAAAAATGTGAGAAAAAAAAATTAGGTTTTCTCTTACTCAGTTTGCGTTCTACATTTTCTGATTCTTGACCAAGGCAACTTGACACAATTGCAAACATTCCCAGTACAGCATACACCTTCATCTTTCGCCTTTATGATTTCCTGAGATCGAACACAAAATTTATAAATACTGTAAATTTTAAATGTTTTCAATATTACACTATATTGTCAAAAAACTAATATCATTATTTTATTTCTGAATAAAAAACACCACTTATCAAATGTTTGTAAAATTTATCAACTTTAAAATATCCTTTGCATTTATTTTTTGTTATAATAAAACATTAGTAACCTACCTTAATCTTTCTATCCACAGTATATGACTAGCTCCTGCAACTTTGTGCTGAATGTGGGCAAGTAAGTACCCTTATATAGTTTCAAAGATAATGTTTGTTTTGACAATTGAGATCATACCTACCGAGTATTAACCAATAAAAACTTTTTCCTTAAATCATTTCCGTGTTCGCATAGATATCATCTATAAAGGATATCAAGCAAAACTAACTTTAAAAATAACTGTCATAAATTTTAATATTTTTAAATCAACTTTTATATCTATTTCTTATAATTTATTTACAAAGAATATGATAAAATAACAAATATCAAAAGATATTTAGTCAAATAATTGCTTAAAGTTAGAACACCTTAAAAGGGCTTTTATTCCAGCTGTTTGTATGCGGTATTCCATGTAAATCAAGGATTGTTTTCACGTAGTTGATTATAAGGAAATAGTAGAAATAGAATTGAACAAAACTTTCAAAAGCTTTTTTAGCCGTTCCAGAACATGTTAACTTAGAACAATTTACATTTATGACCAAAAAATCATTTTCACGGCTTATATGTAGCTTCTAATGTCACTTTCTTCCACAAAAAGCAGTCTTTATTTCAAATCTTGTAGTACTTGTGGCCAAAAAATAGATAAAATTAGAAAATTTGTAATTGCAATCAATAATGTCATCCTAAATCTTATCTTTCGATATCCTTAGGAACTATGACACTTTTTAATTATGAATACAAAACTGAAGTTTCTGATTATTTTTACTGTGAAGTTTCATTAAGATTGTCCAAACCATCTGTGGAGAAAATTAGCTGAAACAACCGATATTATCAGGGGTGACAGAATGATGTGACTAAAATTCAATATTTTTGTAATTTGATCAAATGTTATCGTGTAATTTTTATAAAAATTATAATTTCATAAGACATTGAGGAAAAAAATGGAAAATGGAAATTATTTTGTCATTTACTGGTATTTTCTCCTTTGAAACTGCAGATGTCATACATTAGGACTTTTCTTTTAATACAAGTACGTACATTGTATAACTTATTCATTTACTGAGGGATAGTGAATAAAAAATAGGTTTTTTCATTTTTCTTAATCAACCCCAAAAGAGAAGCTTTTTTCCTACTCAATATCATAAGGATACAATAAAAACTTGGTTAAAAAGTTTTCTAAAAACATGTTTGTTAGTTTTTACATTGAATTGTTTAGGTGGCGTAGAAGATGACCATTCTCCTCTTTAAAAAAAATAGAAAGCATTTGAATATCACTAGAAATAAAAGATAAGATTTTATTTATTTCTTAATATACGAGTACTTTTCAGAGAGCAAGTTTAACTCTAAAAAATTACCTTACATAAAGCAAAATAATTTAAATCCTTAATTAATACTAAACCTTTTGTTTATCACTGTTTACGAAATAGTGAGAGGCAGCCAAGTGAATGATGGTTTTGTTAAAGGACAAAAGATCATCCGATATAATGGATTGCCATCTAACTGGACAATAAGGATGAGGAAGGATGTCCCAGTATACAGGATTATACAAAACAACACCCTCCTTAACTTGACCACAGTTTAATTGGATATATAAATATATATATATATCTTGTTATTTATTGTTTCTGTCTTAACTTGTTATTCTGGTATTGTTGTGGCAAAATCATTCCTACACTGAAAGATCTGAATAAAAGATAAAAGGATATATTTAAAAATTTGCAAATTTCAACCTTTTGAAAGTATATTTAATTGTTTCCAATATATAAAATGATAAAAATTCTGCGATATACGTATAAGATATGTCCTTCGCTTTCATCGTAATCAATTGTCTTATAATGTCAGGAATGTGGTTTCGCTCCAATTACCTGTTCGCGCCGAGTGGTTTCGCGCGAATTCCCTGTTTGCCCTGAATGGGTTCGCCCCGCGTGGTTCAATGTACTTGATGTTTACTCAAGCAAAAGCTGTTTTGATTAGCGGGGGGTTTAATATTAATTATGAGCACTTTAATTACATTCAATTATAACTTGCCGATCAATTATTTCCGACTTTACGACAGTCAGATGATACGAACTTTTTCTTTAAAAAATCTTGAACACAGGGGGAAAATAACCCCTTCTATGTTTAAATATGTTTAAAAAATATGTTTAGTTGAATCGTTTCAATTTTATTCAAAATATATCTCCATTGAAGAATTAATTGTCATAGCAAACTGCCAAAGTACAGAATAATTATTGTAATGTCTTACATTCTGTATATTGTTATTTAGAATTGCAGATTATGCATTTTTAGGTACAGTCGCAAATGTGTCAATTTCTGAATGACTAAATACATTGTTCATTGTTCAAATTGTTTTTATAATCATATTCTCACGCTTGAATTTTGCTGACTGACCATAAAGTCCTGTCTGCTGTTTATGTTAAAGTCAAAATCTGCTGCGTTTTGTTTATTTAACTTTGGAGGGCCTGCAGTTTGATATTTATTTTAATTATGAAACTATGCTGTTTCCTGTGTGGATTTACTATTTAGTCTGTATTTTCACTCACACAATTTATTCTTGTAAAAGACTCAGAAATGTACATGTCCAGACGTTATTAATCTCGGAGAAACTGTGGCCGATCACAATGTAAGTTTTACAAGTTTTCAGTTTATTGTTTTTAAAGCTGCAACTTTAAGGCTAATGTAAAGCGACATTAAATACCTCTGTGAAAGTTCATGTGTACTTTAGGAAGCAAATCTGTGTGTCTAGTTTGTCAGGAATGTAACTTGATCTTGTTCATTTAAACATTGTAACATTTGTATTTGTTTATTATAGCTTTTTACCACTCACACACCTACTGTATATCGTCACCTATTGTAAACAGCGACACCTGCGCATATTAGGATCCGCGCTTCTATGTGAACTGTTGGTCAGGTGGCAATAACAGTGAATAAAGTAACTGGACTTACTGTAATCCGTGATATAATCTTCATGTGTTCCCATATTCTCAATTACACTTTCCTAAATTTTATTTGCAAAAGCGATGTTAAATGATGTCGTTTATTTAAAAACACAGATTTATTTGCGGTCAGAATGTTCTGAATTTGATGAGCTTCAAATCCGACCAATCAAGAAGGAAAAAGAAAGATAAACCTGGCACTGGTCCCAAATAAATCTGAATAATTGTCAAAGTACACATGTACTTTCATCAAGACTTGGACATTGACAAAATGTTTTGTAAAGTATCACATACATGTACATACTGTAAGCATTAACATAATTTCATAATAAGGACAAACTAATTTCTAATAAAAATTTGCCTCAATGATTTCATAATTCACAATACATATATCACTTGTGTTCCGAACAGCACCTGGGGCTCGCAATATAAAGCTTGCTAAGATTTTGACTTAAGTAGGGTCATACGTATGTTTTAGGAACAATCTTAGGACCTGCCTAAGTACTACTTAAGTATGTCTTAAACCGTAGCATAAAACGAACTAAGCCAGGTCTTAGCTAAGTCGAACTTATATTCGAAATATTTCTTAGGAATCACCCTAGTTTTTCACTTTATTTACATACATAGCTATAGTTTTGAATTAAATATATATTAAATTTGACGTCCTCACTTACCGATTTAAGTAACTAAGATAACAGATTTCGTATTAAATATATAATTCTGTTAAAAATTATCGATGTCACAAAGTGGCAAAAGTTGTTCAATGTAAATGATCGAGTTTTGTTTATCACTCGAGACTGCAATGTTTTCCGTTTACCTTTTGTTGTTATTCTTTTGTTTTGAAAAATGTTCACTCGCCTAGTCATTGTCGCAGACCTGGCACGATAACCGAACTTCTATCTGTCTATTTACTTGAAATAAAACTCTGTTAAAGAAGAGGAAACCATTTTCCCCACGATGTATCAGCGAATGTCAGCAGGGAAAGACTGTAGACGCTTTATGATATTTAAACACCCGTTACTATTACTTATTTTCAATTTAATCAAAAATCGAAGAGAATTGATTTCAGAAGATACTTTTTCGTATGTCTTAATCTATAAACATATCTCTCCCTCTCTCTCTCTCTCTCTCTCTCTCTCTCTCTCTCTCTCTAGGAAGGTAGTATGCCCTGCATGCATGTCTGAATCCGCGTTTGTCGGTTTCATATTCAATCTAATTTACAAACACTCTTAGCATTCTAGTCATCATCTTCTAACTCACCAACAATTTCTTTGTCTCTAAAAGTGTATTTCATCTCACATTTTCACAGTGAACATAAAATTCCATGATTTTCTTTGTCCAAGTTACATATAGTAAGTAGTGTTTATAACCTCTTCGATTTTTTCAAAAGTATCCCCAAAAATATAATTTTTCATGGACATAATTATGCCATGTTGAGAGTGTTATTAGAATCAGTGATCAATAAATCTGTTTTCATTTAACCCCCCCACCCACCCACCCCCCCAAAAAAATCTCAAAATCACATACCAGCATTACGCAGCGATAAATTATTTCTTTAATGCATACTATGAATAGAAGAATGTTTTAACGTAGAGATTCAACATTTAATAGTTCTAAATTTGTGTATAAGATAGTTAAGACATACTTAAGTCACCTCCACCGGCCGCCTAAGTTTTGCTAAGATTGTCAAATCTTAGCACGCCTTCAGTTTCGGTCTTAGGTCTAAGACTGTACTTAAGTCCTACTTAAGCATGGCCTTAGACTTAAGTACCCTTTATGTTACGACCCCCTGGTCCAGTAGATGTATATATGTTGCAGACTGTTCGTGAAGAACTGCTTAAATATGCAATGCGGCGTATTTTAGAAAGTCA